CCGGTTTCCATTTTCAAGGCTATGATGGGCATAGTACGCCAGGTTGGTAGAGTAGCGCGGATTCCGAGTACAGAAGCTTGATCAATGGCTTTGCACTGTCTCTTGTAGGAATTTCGCGCAACACCCCGATACGTTTCTCTGGTTGGCCCAGGGCACCAGAGCCCAGCTGCATGCATCGCGATTGGCAGAACTACCGTGCGAATGACTATCGTAAGTAGGTCGGGCCTTGGTCCCTGGGTGCACCGAGTGAGCCGTTGGAAGAGTTGTACTAACTGCACTGCCCTGCAGGTCCACTTATCGACGTAGCTTTCGAAGGTGAGGCCGTGGTCCAGGTACACTCCAAGCCACCGAATGTCGGCGGACAGCTGGTCGTACTCTTTTTTAAGTTCTAGGTGTCATAGTGCGCGCTTGAGCGTCGGGTAGTTCTGTAGGGACTGGGCCGTCCAGTACGTGACAGTAGTCACGAGCTGTGGATAGGCAGGAGGTTAAATTCAATTAAATCTGTAAACGTTATTGACTCAATCTTGTATTACAACTAAATCACTAAGGTTCTCTGTCTAGGTTCAACCAGAAAGACCGCCCTTCTTATGTGTATGTATGCACGGATCACCTTGGATGCCTGCATAACTCACAGTCCTTACTTGGCAGACCGGCCAAGACGATGTACCGCCGCACCATCCAACCATGGCGCTGTTTATAGTGTTAGCTGCACTCTCGCAAGCGAAGTCTTGGCGTGAACAAGGATCAATTTGTAAAACTCTTGCCAAAATTCAAAATGACTCGCCCGTCGAGACTGTATCCATCCGTTGCATCATTTTGTTAACTTGTCCCTAATCCTCTCACGCCAATCCCAAAGAGCTATCTCCCGAATTTGTGCTCCACGCTTTGCTTCCCCCGTCGGGTATAAATATCGGCGTGGGCGTGTATTTGGTGACCGGCTGAGGCCAGAGAAAGTCGACGAGAAGTGTGATCATTGGAATAAGGATGTACTAGGTCATAATTGTAAACTTGATGAAGCTTAAGTAGGAATCGGACTCTTTGGGAGTGAAAGATTGAAATGGTGGAGTAATTTGAATTTTTGCCTCGTGGGCCAACTTCTTTGATATTGCGAAATTTGACTGAACTTGGCTCTGGGAGAATATTTCACTCCCAGCTTCGTAGAGGACACCGCGTACAGGTGTTCAGTCTTGCCCTCCTAAACTAATATTACTTCCTCCTTTGGTGCAGAATATCATCTCTTGCAAAAACTCTTCATCAGCGTAGTACGGTTTACGAAATTAGGAACACATCTCGCACAACTTAGATCAATCCTTGGACCGTCATTTCGCACAATTATCTAACAGCATATAGGAGTCCTGTTTGGGATAAACCATACGAAATCTGAGAGTCGACAGTTTTTTTTAATTTTCTCTCTCATAATTTTGTCCTTACTATTCGTCCTGGCCAACTTTTGAAGGACACATTTATTGGAGATTGCTAGCTTTAATAGCTCATCGGAATCATCTGAAGGTTTTTTTAATTCTGTAGAAGCTACTGAGTTTAATTTAAGGATCCGGGAACTGCCCATCCAACCTATCAATCCACACCATCTTTGTCCTCAATCTCTTGATCATATCCTCCACGGAGTTCCAATTATGACTACTAAAATGGCCACAATTAGCATAGATTTTGTCGGGTCGTTCGATGGCACGCGGACAGAGCGATTTTTCCGCTTACTGCATGACGCTTTCGATGAATCTGGTGTTGAATGGACACCTGCACAATTTGTTAAGGTAATCGACAGAAAGAGTAAAGGTACAGCGTTAGACGTGCTAGAAAGAGACGCGAAATGTTGTCAACTGATGAAATATGCGAGAGATCCACTAAAGGCTATCTCGATAGAAGATATCAAATACATTGAGCTCCACTTATTGAAGCATTTTCCAGCCAATGAAGTGAAGAAAGTGGTTCCGGGTGAACTTGTTGAAGATCTAGCTCAAGATCAGGTCGAAAAACTCGAAGCCTACTCTCTTCGGGCGTTCGACATTCTCCTAGCATTTGATATGATAGACGGCACAAAAAAGAGTCAAGCGGAGAGCTACACTTTGATGAAGGTTATAAATGCTTTTGGTAAGGGATTATATAGCAGGATTCTCAGAGATGAAGTTTGCAGCAGTCGTGACTGGTTCATGTGTGATACGCTATCTGCAGCGACTCAGGTCGTTCAAGCAACTAGCAAATCCTTGGAAGCAGAAGCAGAGAAAGAAACGACAAGGCTTCGAAAACTTGAGATCCTCGAAAGATTGGAGCAAGGATGTTGAAAATTCTGACTCTCGAATTTAGGACTCAATCATTACCTGTTTCGTCTCAGGTTCCCGACAAGATCGACTCTCTCTACAAATGTCCTGAGTACGCAAATCGCGCCTACTGTCGCCTATACGTTTGGATATTTACGTACTACAGTGTACCTTGGCTCATCATGGTAGATGAGAGGTGGCTAGTCATCACTAGGTTTGACAGGCACACGAGGCTAGCGGGAATTTCTCCCTTAGATGTATATACAAGTCCAATGTTCCCATAGTTGTAAAATATTAAGTCTTCTTTACTTCATCATATTTATCCATATAATATCGTACAGAGTATATTTTCCAACAAAGGAATACTCCCACAACCAGAATATGACGCTTATCGTGTCTCACTTGGGAAGCCGAAGCAGCAAATCCCAAGCCCCTTCAATTCTGCAAACTCTAGAGCCATCCGGCTGACCCCACCACCTCAGCAAGCGTTGCTAGAGCACAAAGTTCTGGCTCAATATCGCATAGCACAAGCTCCATTGACAAACTGAGATTCGATCCCAGAACTAATCCTCAAAGACCAGCAGCTACCAGATCCAAGTATTTCTCGTCATCCCTTGATAATTAGCCAGCGAGTGTACAACGGAGAAACTCGTTGCCACAAGTGTGGCCAATTTGAAGGAGTCGGGGTGCATCTAGGAAAGGATTGCAGGAACCAATCGATGTTGCACTGGGAACAAGCGTGCATCAGAAAGTTGCGAGATCCTCGGAATTCCCGTACCATCGGCTCGTTTATAGTTGAGATAGCCCAAAAAGAGGGGCCACGGAAGCAAGAGATATCGGGAAGGCAGGAGGTGGATATATCGAGTCTTGGATACAAAGATGAGCAATCCCAGCAAAGTCAAACCGAAGCATTCGCAGGAACCGGCACAAATGAAGTCCCAATTGTCCCTCGACAGATGACTTGGGAAGATTTGAGACAAGTTAGAGGAGACCAAGTAGACGTCGATGCAGTGCAGACAAAGAAGAAGTCGAATCCCATAGATTTCGACGCTAAGTCAACAGTATTTACTTCAGAATTACCCATAAATTATGACTCGAGCTATTCAGAAACAGAGTCAGAGGTAGATCTAGAAGCTTTTCCCGGAAGAGCGAAAGCCGTAGTTCCTATAGGATACCAAGACTCCATTAGGGTTTTAAGTTATGACAAAAGAAAAAGGGTCGCTGTGATGCATACCATTAGATCGTCAGAGGACCAACACGCTAATGCGACGCCAGAATCAGATGGCCGACGTCGGAAGACTCTATCTAAGGTTGCAGATGCACTCCCACGGACAATATTACCAGATCCTGAGTGTGAAAAAGACAACCTTTTGGACTCCATAGGTGATATAATCGATGATCAAGACGGTAAGCCTAAGTGGGTATGGAAAGACATGAAGGGGGGATATGCAGAACTTCTACGACTGCGCAGAATCCAGGAAGATGACGCCACCATCTTTGATTCAAAATCGCTTGAGTACTCAGCCAATCCTCCGCGTAAGGAGACCTTCGAGGAACGATTAGATGCTCTCGCTACACAAATGGTAGAAAGAGAAACAAGGTCGAAATACCAAGAGTCGGAGTGGTACCGAGAAATCTGGATTGCACTCACAAGGGCCTCCGACCCTTCGGACTTCGATCGAGTACAGGTTGCTAGATTATAGCAACGTTGCAATAATCTTGAGGTGATCAGGGACGATCTGTTCTTTCGGATGAAAGGGGTGCGGAAGAGGTGTGTAACACTCCAAGGAGTCTCGCAAGTAATTCGAAATACTCAAGATAAGAAAGGTCAATGGAAAAGCTGCGAGGAAGAAACTTCATCCAGTGTGTTGAAGACTCTTGGATGTGGCTGGCCATGGTGGCTCCCATGGAAAATCCTACCTTTTAAGTCTAATTAATGAGAATGAAATACCGAGAGCCTGCTATGGGGACCAACTCAAGTTATTAAAACTTCGGGAAAGTCTTTTAATCACTGTTCGAGAAGGAAAAGCACCTTTTTATCAGAACTTTCTGTGCAGGATCTACAAGCCATAAATTACCTACAGCCGTTGGAATCGAGGACACGAAATGGAGTGAAGACAACTAATTGCAGGTACGGGATTTTCTATGGGATTCCATACCTGATTTTGGAAAATGGAGTTATGTTCGATGTTTAAATCTTGCCATTACAGGAACACTTTTATAGTCTGGAAAGAGTTATGGATAGACTGATTACCCTGAAGTCCATCATGGTATTCAGAGTATGTGGTTTATTCAGCACGTCGAAGGAAGTTCTATAATCTCGTAAGTAACTAGACAAACTTTCAGAGCGGAAACCAAAGGGATAACAGTACTCGAGCTATCTGCGAATTGTCGAGAACGACAAGTTGCTGCTACGGGACTAGAGATGTAGCGGGTTACGTAATGAGGTTATGTATTTAGAACTAGTAGCGCGGTGGTCGTGTATTTACGCGTCGCAGATAGAAATCAATAGAGGTCTTGCGACCTCCCACAGCTCCGAACCCTAACGTATTTCTATACCTTTTTCGTCTCTGTAATGTACCATTTATATAAACTGTAATCCTATCATTGATTCAGTGGCCTATAGATTGATCTTGGAGTAATGGAATCTTGTCTCTCTCCACACCCCAGCTGCTGGCTAGGAAATTCTCCACATATTCCAATCAATATCCATATCCACTAGTTTCAGGATAGAAGCGCCATATAGCTAGCCAGCCAATGACACAGAATGCTGCATAAGTAATGAAAGTGCTGGTAGGGGATGGGAAAGAGCTCGTTTTGGAACCAGGACACTGTTCCCAAGCCTAGGACATAGATACCGACAAATAGAATGATGCTAAAAACGACGAGTAAAGGAACCACTTGAGGTAGAGCGATATACGTTGATGACATGGACTCAGAAATAGTACAAAAGGTCGGAATTGACATGATTAAAAATAATAGACTGCAGATTAGTAGACCTAAAATCATTACAGAGATAGTGAAGAGAATGACATAACGCCGGCTAATACGATCGATGATCAGGAAAGCAACACAGGTCATGAGGAAATTAGTAATAGCCACGGCTAAAGAAATGAAGGTAGGCGATTCAAATTCATGGATAGCGAATATCGATGCTGAAAATTATATGATAGGATTCTGAAGAGTATATAGGTCAGCCACAAAGAAAAGCGTGCAGAAGTTTCAGGTACGCATACAAATCCGCAAAGTTGCTGTAGAGCTTGCAGTAGACATGAAATTATCAACGCTCTTCGATTTCCTCTATTTCGTATGAGCTAAATCCAGATATTCTTAAACAAAGAGGTCCAGGAATCGTCATTTAGGCACGCAGCCTCTCTCGCCTAGGCTCGCCTGGAATTTTGTTCTTTGCCTCTTTCAGACTCAATGCATTGAAGCACTTCATCAAATATCCGATTCTCGTTATTCTTTGCTCCGTAGAATTTACACAGAACTTTCTTAGTTTTGTCTGCATGTTTGCTCATTACTAGCCATGGTGGTGTTTCGGGCATGGTTATGATGATTAAGAATTGTATTATTGCTGGTAAAGCTCCAAGGCCAGCCATAAAGCGGCAGCTGGTCCCTGTTTCATTCCAGTCGCTGAATATTTAGCCTATTATATATGCAAATACTTGGCCAATGGTGATGAAGAGAATATTCATAATTACAAGTCTACCTCTGAATGGTGCAGGTGATATTTTGTTAATGTACAGAGGTGCCACAAAGCTAGCAGCACCTATTTCAAGTCCTACCACTACTCTACCGAAGATTAATTCCACAATGGTGAAAGAAGATGCTTGTATGAGAGCACCAACAGCGAAAACAACATTTGCCAGCAAAGCAACTTTCTTCCGACCCCAGACGTCCGCCAGAAATCCTGCCAGGGGCGAACCAAGTAGGGCAAAAAACGCTGAAACCGAGGTAGTATGACTCTTGTCTAAGACTGTCAATGAATAGCCGAGAAAAGTTCGAATGGAAATAGGCATGGAAGAAATGACGCCGATATTGTTTATTCCTATTCAGCCGAATATTTGAGTTTATCGTCGCAACTGATAGTACTTACAGCCAAAAAGGAACCCACTTATACTAGCAGCGATGGTGAGGAGTGAAACAAGAGGTGCTGGATGGTGTAGATAATCTTCCTCCCGTAATGTCTCATTTGCGTATGCTTCATGAATAATTGAGTCCTCATCCAGTATATCTCTTTCGCAGCCCATCAATTGCTCCCGAGTTTTTTCAAACCTTACCATGTTAAAAGCATATTGTATCCAGTCATTTGGTTTCATTTGGTTTCGTTCAGCCCTCAATAGTGTTGTGAAAATGAAATTTTATCGCACTCTTCCTCAATAGCTGACTACTCCGAGCCATACCACATCCTTGCTCGTTGGCAGTTCCGTGTTCCCGACGTAATCACCCATAACATTCCCTATTCTATCTTGTGAAATCGACGACTCAAAAATTTAGTTCCTTGCGTTCTTTATAAAGGTGGCTTCCCCCAGGATGCGATGCCATTCTAAGCGTCTGTTCAGTGAGTCTTGTAATATGTATAGCTTGATAAAGACTTCGGAATTATGATGGATACCTTACTTTCGGCGAGAATATCTTGGTTTAGTAGTGTATAGGTATTTCTTCCTTGTTTTCCAAGTAAACTATCCGTCTATTTTTATTTATTTATTTACTTTTGTCTACCGGGCACTAGTTACAACTAAAGCCCCATCCCTGAGGTGACATGGTGACTTTGCTAAGTATATTTTTGTTTATTTGGCTGTAAAACATGAATTGTGTAGCGTGTACATGTTTGACAGGGTAAGACCTTCAAAATCGATCAGAATGTATTGCTCTGAGTATACTGACATACTAAATTGAAATTAAAAGTTAATGATATAGCTTTTAGCAGTCCTTCATAGTCATAGAATCAGTAAAAAATCTCATAAAAACATAATCTACATGTTGGATGACTCTTTTAACTTCAAAGCCAGCCTGAATCTAGATTTTATTCGTACATACCATTGAGATCTGTATCTATTTATTGTGTTACATGATCGTATGAACATCTAGAACATTAGGCTCCAATTCTCTTTTGTTATAAAAAAAGATCTCTGTTATATTGACCGTAGTGGATAGCAGTTCAGCTCGATAGTTAACTGTAGAATTCGGCCATCTTTCCCACGCTACCTTCTATCCAAAAAAAAAAAATTATCAAAAAACTTGAAGCCTCAACTCCGCTGGGCCTAGACTCCGAGATGACAAGAGGTGCTCATATTCATCTACATCTTCCCTCTGTAACATTAGAGATCGGCTTAATCCAATCCACCGTCGCCGTGTCAGGTGATAGTTATGCTCTAGGAACCTACCGGTTGGCTTTTTTTCTATGACTAAGATAGGATGATGAGTAGAGCTCCGACCCTACCACCTAATATGGTGGTGGCTGGCTTCATGATAATGGTGCTAGGGGTTGCGTAGAGAGATGGAGAAGATATAGATAGCGAAAGCCAAAGCGATTGAGAATCCTCATCGAAGTGAGGAGGAAAGTGTTACTCAAACTCGGTTCTGTGGGCTCTACCGTGTGAGCTGGAGGTTCGTAGAAGACACCACTGACAGGTGTTGAGAATAGTCTCTCTGTGCTATGTGGTTATAGGCTGAGAAAGAACATTGTAATAATAAAAAATAGTAGTAACTTAAAAATAGAGCCTGAGTTGTCTGGACATGTCCGTAGGTTGAGATTTCTCATGTTCAATCTGATATTACACCTGATCTGGCCCGGTTCCTCTCATGACAGCTCCGAAGCAGCACAAGGGTTATCGATTCCCTGTGAAATGCAAGTAATAAAATATATATATCTAAAGAGGCCGTTGTTGAAGCTTTGTCGTTTAGTGATAGATATGAGAGTGAGGTTTATAGGGTCGATATATGAGATAACTGGGACGTGGATGTATGAGTTCCTTACTATTATCGTTGTACTAGTTAGGGTTGTTTTCTTTATATAAAAAGGGACTTCTTCATCTAAAAGTGAGCCAGATAGCTTAGGTCTGGCTAGCGGCTTTCGCCATCCCTTTCGTCCTCCCCCACATGGCATCACGTGCTATACAGCTACTGCTCACCATGAAGTCCGAGGATGAAAAGCGTTAGATTACAACAGCCGTCACAAATTTTACTGGAACAAATAATATCGACTGACACGTTAGGTGCAGGATTCAGGATTACAGAATATACAATTAATTTAAACTCAGTTCCTAAGACCGAGCCGAAACATATCTACCTTTCTTTATACATCGCTGTTGTAAATTTCGATAGAAATATAAAAGCCCTAGGTGCCTGCGCCCTTCACAGTATTATAAGCTTTCATTTCCGTATTATATGGTGGCCTAACTCAGCCTAAACTGAAATATACAATCGTACCACCTTGTGAATCACGTTCCGGGTTATTTACAATTCACGTGACCCTTTTGTCCCTAGAGACTACTCCTATTATTTTAGCCACCTCTCATTTCGACGTCGCTTGGACAAGTTGCTGCTGGCTGCATTTTATGACTATACGTAGGTTAGTAACTCGTTTTTGCCAAAAGAGGAAATCTAAGTCAAAACTTACAGATGAGAGAATCGCCTTGCGACCAATTCCTTCAACTCCTGCTTGTACGGGCTGGAATTGTGGCGCACCGGCTCCAGCAGCGCCAGCACCTTTACCACCACCTCCTGCACCTGCTCCTGCACCTGCTCCTGCGCCGGCACCTTTACCTGCGCCGGCACCTGCACCTCCACCGGCTCCTGCACCAGCTCCTGCACCAGGACCTTTACCGGCACCACCACCGTTGCCAGGCGCTTTTTTACCATTTCCATTATCATCGTCCTCGACATCAGCACCTTGGAGCGAGGCCATTAGATTTGCTGCCCCGTCTGTATCATGGAATGCGATCGCTCCATCACCGACCACCATTGCTGGTGAATAGTTGCCCATATTGATGTTAAGAGGGGCCGTAAAGACCGTAACGAAGAATAGAGCTAATATTAAGAGAGGTGCGGTTTGAGAATACATCTTGATTTTGGTGTAGTTGGTGAATAAGACTATTGAATCGAATGAAAAAGTATCGTGTTGGGTGAATTAGAGTTTGTGCGAGTAAAAATAAGTACTAGATATATTTTGGTGATGGCTTGAGAAAACTTGTATTCGGAGGAGAAGATATTAGAAGTTATCGTAGATGAGTGTTTATCGAATGATACCAACTGGTCTTCTTTTAAACATTTCCTCAATAGAGATAGATAAACTGTCCCTTTTCTGTACGCTAGTCTCCAGGGCTGGTAACTTCTAAACAAGACATCTAGCGAAGCTTTTTGCGTCTAAGTTCGTCCAAAGATAAGAAGGAGGTGTTTGGAGGTTGGTGGACTTCCTAAGCTCTGAGTCCTGCTTCAGGAAGAACGGTCGGACTGCGCCAAAGCTTGACCCCTCCGACAACTTATCATTTGATGTTGGCGAGTGATAAGTAGGTCAAGGGTAGGTTAGAGGAATGAAAGGCGGAATAAAAAAGGATAATTATTATAAACTTGTCCGTTAAGTCCGATCCGTGGTCCATGTTAGCGGAGTGATACCAGTCTGACCTTAGGGGTACTATCGGGTTTCCATATCTATCCATACAGATAATCATCATTTTGGCTAGCTATATTTAGGGCTGTAACTAATTATTACGCTGAGCCATACGTGAGTGTTGGCCTTGTATCTTGGTCGTATTAAACGATGAGTTTGTTGACTGAAACATTAAATGTTCGTGTTCATCAGGGATGATGAAAGCCAATTGGAATCTTTGAAGCTAAATGTAGCCAGAATGTCCCGAAGAGGAATCTTAGACGAGATGCGACCTCACGTTCGTTAGATTCGGCTAACATGGGTGTGTTTTTTGTTTTATTTACATTTAATGCCAAGTAAGCTCACGGTTATGACCCGGCCTTTATGCCTATGAATTGGCGTTTGGCGTGTCCGCATAGCCTATTGCTATCGGGCAATTCTATCACCTAAAGACTACAATAAACTCTATTTTATTCCGTAATTAATGCTCTGTATTGATGTAAGGCAGGCTAAAATGGGTAACAATGAACATGGAGTTTGGTGGTGCTGCCGACATCTGATTGATCCCTAGAAACTGGCGGCCCAGAGGTGCATTTTACTGCGCGCTGGAGCCCCAAGTAGAGTTTTCTAGGCCGCTAGTCTCTCACCTCAAAATTTTATGGAATTATTTAGTTGTATCAATCGCTCTAATTCCCTAATATTGGTTACTAAGCCAGGGATCCACGACTTCATGTCACTGACCATTACACAAAAGGACTAAATATTTATTTTTTACCATACTGAAGGCTGATAGATCCTGTCTCGCTGGCCACGTATTCCCCCATCTGTTAACAGAATGCTCTGTGCACATACTCATCGTCCTCACCCTACACTTTTAAGAGCTTTCGGGACTGCGCTTTGAAACCGAAGTATACATTTTCCACGGGTCAATGTAGCAGGAGCTCTGTGCTGTACCTCACCTACCCCACACTTTAGGGACGCAGATTCTGACGTGTAAGGCGGTAGATCACCGACCCCTCTGTTTCATCGTACACGGCTCCTCACTGGATGGGACTTCGTGACTTGATGTGTGACATCCGGATAGCCCCACCAAAATTTTCAACTCCATGGTCTTTTAGCCTCTCAGCTAAAATCCCGTCTCAGAGTACACATTAATATAAACTGTGGCTCTAAATAGGCATCAAACTCAGAAGGGTATAACCTTCGAAATAACGGGGAATTATAGATTCAATGCATTGTTCCACGTTTGGTTCTTGAGACAGTGTAAAAGTATCTAGTTTACCGCGATCACAGCAAATGAGCCTTGAAGTTGTCACTTAGAATTTTCGCAATTGTGATAAATCACTTTTCTCATGTTATTCTGGGATATATACTGAAGTATTCCCATTGTTTAAAGCGCCAGTTAGGTGTCGCTCAATTCTGGGTTCTTCCGATTGCATCACGGTCCCTGTTAAGTGAGGCGCTAGCTAGGATTGTGTGTCAAGATTTTCAGGGAATTGGGATCTAATGGTAATATCTCAAGTGATGAGGGACTCAACAGCATCCTTGCCACTGTTCTAGCAAGTCAAAACGGTTCTACAACATACAGCGCGGTTTATGACCGCGATATCGTTAATGACACATACCAGCAATTAAAAATACATAAATCCTACTTGTGACAGTATATGTGTCTAAATCCCCTAAAAGAAAGATTTGAGTATTTTTTTCTTTTTGGAGAGATTTCAGAGCTTATTTCATACAAGGCCTTAATTTATTTGACGGTCCATGTTTCAGGTAGGCTCAGGCTAGGGTCTTCATCTGGGTAACCCAAGTTACGCCTGACTTTTAGGACCTCATTTCGTACTCTTAGGGTGACTTCTTTTCGTATAGCGACAGCTTCCCCGCCGTACTTGAGTTCTTCATTGAGATATCCTAGCTCCCATTTGGTCTCAAGTCCTTTTCTTTGCAGCTCTTCCTTTTGTTGCTGGACTAATTGCTTCCATTTATGCCTCAGATCTCCAAATATTCTTTCGCCATCAATCGTCTCACCAAAAGCGATAGTGACACGCTTCCCAATTCTGGGTAGGAATTCGGGAAATTCGCGGTTTTCGTGCATAATATTTTGATTCCCGTCAATAAAAATTGGAACGACTTCTGGCAATGGTTCAGACTCAAGAATAAGACGTGATATACCCCATTTAAAATACCGGAGTGAGCTTGATGGATGTTGATGAACTCGACCTTCTGGAAATATATGAATCCACGAGTGTTTGCGGGACTGATAAAAGGCTGGGGAAAAGTATACGTCAGATTCAGTCGTGGAGTAAGTCATATTACCAGATACAAAAGGGTCAAATGTATCGAGTGTACAGGAGGCCGTCCTTATAAATGGCTGAGCTGAAAGCAGTCGAATGGCTTGGGACATTACTGGCTGAAAAAGGCCCCCGTGAATTGAGTACGTATTGCGATGGGTTGGAAGGACCTGGCCATAGCTAAAGAATGTCGCAAGAATTCTGTAAAATATAGCTTTTAGTGAAGATTTGCATCAGAGGATTCCATTGATAGCGTACCTGCTTTGGAAGCAGATATCATAACTTCCCAGACTCCATCGGTGATTTGAAGGATTGAAGGCGTAAGAGATTGGAAGAACGCCCCAGATTAGGGGATCGTCTATCCTGCGCCAGGTTATAGTGAGTCGTCATGATCTGGTTACATGATGAAGCAGCAAAACATACACGCTGACATGGTTGGAGACTAGAGACCGATTAATAGTTGAAGAGTTAGTTAAATTAGATCAAGTACCAGTTATTAAACCTCTTTCTCTGCCTTCTATGTTAGATCGTCTGTCTAACTTTTCCAAAAATCTTTCCAGTCCAATTACTTCTATATAATTCATTCCGTATAAGAATCCTCGACAAATGACACCGGTCAATCCCATAATTGAGCTAGAAATGACGCGCCATGATAACGACGGAGTCAACGGTACATCAGAACTTGACATGACGTTTTATCCCTAGAAATATTACCTGGAAGGCATGTGAATTTATATAAGTAAATTTAGTTGAAAGAATGAAAAATGTGAAGCGGAGTTAAAGCTCTGTCGTTAATAATTAGCTTAAAATACAACTTAAAGCTCCTAGTAGGTGTTTATGCTTTGATCCCTGAATTTCCGATATGATTATTTGAATTAAATGGGCCAAGATTGGATTGGCAACACAAATCTTTGAGTCCACTGTTGTCAGAAAACATGAAATGTTAACGTATTTTCATATCTTGTAACGCTGCACTGGGTTATTGTATGCAAAGAGATTTATGGTATGTAGATGATCGAGGAGTCTCACTTTGTTAGTCCTTGATGCAAGGGCCACCTGATTCCTCGGCGTCTTTTTTTATTTTTTTTCTGTCATACTGTATTGAGCTACAGTCAGACCCCTGTTAAGACGATCCTCGTTAAGACGATATTCTTTTACGTACCAGACGTCGTTCCCACACATTAACCTATTACACGATTATCGCTCTTCAGCCTCTGAATATCGTCTTAACCAGGGTTTTTTGCTAGCTTGGTGCTATCAATGCCGCCAAAAAAGGGAATTTCTGTGGAGCAACGACGTGCTCTGCGACGATGGGCGCCCCGACAGGTCCCAAAACCAACACATAAACAGTTTTTGAGTGGTTCTTAGCTGAGGACGGCCATCGATTAAGCCAGTCCACAGTCTTCGAGTCCTTGAGTAAGACCTTTGCGAACCCCAAAGAAGCTCCAAGTACTACTGCGCTGCGACAGCGAGCTGGAAACTGGCCTAACCTTGAGAGTACTAGAGCGATTAAAGACGGTAATTGGGTCTATAAAAGAGGCATTAAAAGTACAAAGTAGCCTAGAAAGCTGGATTAGATAATGATATCCTTTATATGGCGGCTTCAATATACCGGGCTACCCAATAACCTACCTATCCAACAGACAATTTCAACTGTACGCAGAAAAATCAAATATTTTGATGAAGAAAATTTAAGTAAACGCGATCAAAATACGAGAGATGATATAGCGGAATGGACCTTAATCTGCAGCAACATCGAGTCTAAAACAGGACAGAAGGTAGCCGGTAAAAACGCCGCGTTCAAGGAATGGTCAGAATCGTGGACGAGCCAAAAGAAGGAGTAACACTTGGGTTCCCAAGCGCAAGCCAATCCGGATAAGTGGAATGCTGCAAACTTATACAACGAATAAAAAATAGGTAGACTTATGATGAACTACAGAGAGTCACCTATCCAAATCCACCAAAACCTCAGCAGGGCCCAGAGTAGCATTGCCACATAAGTAAGAAGCGAGCAAATTGGGCTCAATGATTACTTATACAGAAGGAACGTGCCAGGAGTAGGAAAACCATGCTGCCAATGTGGATATCCGTCCCAAAATATAAAGCACATGGTGATGTCTGGTCCAAGATGGGCAAAGGGAAGAGGTGAGTTGCTACGAAAATCGACAACTCGATCTTTCGAAGCTATGGTAAATAAGGTCAAAGATATGACTAGAATTGCACAGTGGATTCAAAAGGAAGGATAGCTGGAGCAATTTCGGATGACCGAAGAAATTGAGGCGTTAATCAGGCGAAGAGAGGAAAATGGAAACACAGGACAAGGACGGAATCCACACTGGCAACAACAGTGTGAGTGCACTTCCTAGAGGTAAGACTATAATCGCGCAGAGTCAAGTCAGACAGCTAAGGGGGTTTTTACCGCAAGGTTTCCTCCTATGTAAATATTAGAGTTCGTAGACACCTGCATCGGCCCATACGGCGCCAAATCGGGCTAAATGAGATCAAATTCAGATATCCCCTATATGACGATATTTTTCACGGCCCCGATTACATCGTCTTAACAGGGGCTTGACTGTATATAGCTATGACAATTTGGTTCTAATTTACAGCAAAAATTATCCTGAGTAATATCCTTACTGTTGGTTCCACTCAGGCCGTTAGGCTCGGCAGACAATAATAGCTGACTAACCTAGAGAGGCCTGTGCGTCTCATCTAACTCGTAGAGCTTCGAAGCACCCTAGATAGTAATAATAATGTATACAATTCAGTACACTCTATTTCCATTCCCCAGCACTAGTGCTTAAGTCCTGTCAACACTTACACATATTCCTTGATCCCTTGTATTAATGTCAACTTATTGTCAATCTATTCAATCTCCCTTGTGTACACTTATGCATCTGGAAGTCTTTAAAAATTCTAGCAATGCTTCCTTTCCCCTATTAGTCCGGAATAGAATTGCTAGATTAAATGGTATAATATCTTTTAAATTTTTATTTCTCTCTTCTTTAAATTTACTGCATTGCAGTATGAGATGTTGCATTGTCTGCTTTTCATTTGCACAGAAATTGCAGGTTTCATCTTTTGACTTTCCAATTCGGTATAAATATGCCTTCATATTCCCAATACCTGTCCTTGCCTTGAAATATGAGGACTCTGTTAATCTGTTATGACTTTTGAATTTGATTGGCTCTGTTGAGAATACTGGAGTGGTCATTTGAGCTTGGATTCTGTTAAACTTCCCAAGGCCCTTGCTTTTCCTCCCTTCTTCCTCTTGGAGGAGCTCTAAGGTCCATTCCTGGCTCCATGCCTTTATAACTAGCTCCTTGAGTCTTTGTTTTAGAAATAAATGTGATATTGACACACATTTTTATAACCGTCTTTTTGCTGGCCCCTCTGGCTAAGCTATCAGCAAGCTCCTCAGCGTCTTGACGGATGAGCGATTGGTAAGAAACTGATGCAAAAAAAAAGATTGGTAAGAATAATTGTGCTACCCGATGGATTTTTTTTTGCATCAGATTTTAATTGCGTATGCAGCTATCTAGCTATGACACAATATCAAAGAAAAGTACAGAATAGATGATTCAACGTAAAGGAAGAGCACTCGTACCTCAGATTTCATTTGCAAGTACCGCTGCGAAGTTATGGTGGCTTTTTCTTCTCCCCAAGTCAACCCTCATCCGTGAATACCCACCCAGGGGAACTTCCCAAAAACCCTGAGGTATCCAGACATGCCTCCGTCAGCCATTAACTTTTCTACGCGCGAAATTTAATCTGAGATGTCTCCTTCCCAAGTGGAGTAGGTGCCCAGGCCACTCAAACTATACCAGAGAACACCACCAGGAGGCGGACCACAACACTTTCCATCGTTTGCTTGTTTTTATAGTGTCAGCTGCACTCTCGCAAGCGAAGTCTTGGCGTGAACAAGGCTCAATTTGTAAAACTCTTGCCAAAATTCAAAATGACTCGCCCGTCGAGACTGTATCCATCCGTTGCATCATTTTGTTAACTTGTCCCTAATCCTCTCACGCCAATCCCAAAGAGCTATCTCCCGAATTTGTGCTCCACGCTTTGCTTCCCCCGTCGGGTATAAATATCGGCGTGGGCGTGTATTTGGTGACCGGCTGAGGCCAGAGAAAGTCGACGAGAAGTGTGATCATTGGAATAAGGATGTACTAGGTCATAATTGTAAACTTGATGAAGCTTAAGTAGGAATCGGACTCTTTGGGAGTGAAAGATTGAAATGGTGGAGTAATTTGAATTTTTGCCTCGTGGGCCAACTTCTTTGATATTGCGAAATTTGACTGAACTTGGCTCTGGGAGAATATTTCACTCCCAGCTTCGTAGAGGACACCGCGTACAGGTGTTCAGTCTTGCCCTCCTTAAAAGTTCTTCGCCCTTCACTATCTCCCTTCTTCAGTAAATGAAACGATGGTCATTTGCGGCTGTATGGCAGCCGGGAAATATCGCAAAAACCACTAGATGCGGGGCTCTCCTAACACCGACATTAAGACTAAATTTGAAGTCATAGTGACTCTTCTGAAGTGTTTGAAGAAGCCAGTTAGCTGGGTGCTGCAGACTTGTGGGTACCTCTGAGAATTGACATTTCGACTTTCTAGCCTCCTTCTAGCTCTTTCCTGAAGGTCGTGTTGAAATGTCAGAGAATTCTTGATAGATTGTGTTTGCTGTGTGATAGAATAGAATTCAATAAAAGTCCTCCTGGCTACTTAGCCAAAATCTCGGTCTTGGTGCCCACAAATGTTGCAAAGTTGAAAACCACTCGAAAGTGTCGGTCCTAGCATGGTCTTCAGAGATATCATCCCTCTCTCGCTCCACATCTTAGCCGCCTGTCCTTCCCCAAGACGTAAAAACCTATTAGAGCAACAGTCCCACTTAAGCCAGGACACAGAATTTTTATATTATGACCTAATTACTTCATTGCGGGTATACGTAGCGTCGTAAATTTGTAGTGGGTGATTGCCGGTAATGAATGAGGCGAGCTCCTGTTTGCAATTGGGGTGACGCTTTTGTCGGTCGTTGAGGCGAGATGATTTGTGGTTAGAAAGAGGTTGAAGACTATAGTAAGAGAGGCATTATGGAGAAGTCGTCAAATGGAGATATGCTTGAGGTTGCTTTCGATTTTGATTCTGTTAGACTCAACGAGTCAATTGAAAAATGTATGAAGTAAATGTAAAAATTGTCAATTAATTCCTGGCTACCATTTGTCTTTCTGATACTATCTAGATGATGTACGTCTAGAAAATGGCAAATGCTCTATGTGTCCCTAACTTGTCCCCGTGAACCGACTTTCTCATGGTTTGGAACGAAATATCTTTAGTGAAAAGATATAGAGTTCCCATTGCTACAAGCCAAGCGAAACACCTTTTTCCGAAACAAGTAACTCCAAGCTTTGTAAACCTATCCCCTTAAACTTCATATCTGAAATTAATCGCCTCCAAAATATCCACAGTTTGATAGATTCTGATGCGATTTTTCTTGGCTATCCTAGATATGCAGAGCATACTGAGCGATTACACCGGTACCACTGGAAGGTGAAGAATTCGTCTTTGCCGGTTCGGAACAACTGATGACCCGGGATTTACTCTGCTTACAGACAAGAAGGCCAAGGTATCAAAAAGAGGGCTGAGATGACTGCGTCAGGTAGTTGAAGTCCCGGCGGCACCAATTATCCCCTCAACAGTAGCACCGTAACCATCGAGGCCGACTCTTCGAACACTTCGACGATCCACGCTGAATGAGGAAATTCCTTATCTTTTTAGATTTTTACTAGCTTAAGTCTAAACTTAGGGGAATCTAATGAAAACTTCGGAAGATTTATAAAATAATTGACGAAAGGAACGCTTTCGGCATGAAGCTGGGCCGGTTCAAAACGCCACGATATCAAGTTTTGTTTCTTGGAAGCCTTTTCCCTAACTAGAGCGGCTTACGGTCTTCGTGATTCTGTAACTTAGATATCGAATAGGATTTTGAACAAGAATAATTCAATCAACCATTAAGTGCGAAATCTTCAAACCCCCCTGTAAACCATTTCATTTTTCGCGTGGGAGAGTGTAGGAATGGATTGACCAAAATTTATCCGAGATCTGAGTCGAGCAAATATTAAACCGGAGGGCAAGACTGAACACCTGTACGCGGTGTCCTCTACGAACCTGGGAGTGAAATATTCTCCCAGAGCCAAGTTCAGTCAAATTTCGCAATATCAAAGAAGTTGGCCCACGAGGCAAAAATTCAAATTACTCCACCATGTCAATCTTTCACTCCCAAAGAGTCCGATTCTCAACTAAGCTTCATCAAGTCTACAAGTACGACCTAGTACATCCTCGTTTCAATGACCACACCTCTCGTCGACTTTCTCTGGCCTCAGCCGGTCACCAAATACACGCCCACGCCGATATTTACACCCGACGGAGGAAGCAAAGCGTGGAGCACAATTTTGGGAGATAGCTCTTTGGGATGGACGTGAGAGGGATCAGGACAAGTTCACAAGATGATGCAGAAGAGGGATACGTTTTCGACGGGCGTGAAATTTCGAATTTTGGCATGGAGTTTTACGAATTGAGCTTTGTGCGCGCCAAGGCTTCGCTTGCGAGAGTGCAGCTCACACTATAAAAACGAGCCAACGATGGAAGGTGTTGTGGTCCGCCTCCTGGTGATGTTCTCTGGTATGGTTTGAGTAGCCTGGGCACCTACTCCACTTGGGAAGGAGACATCTCAGATTAAATTTCGCGCGTAGAAAAGTTAATGGCTGACGGAGGCATGTCTGGATACCTCAGGGTTTTTGGGAAGTTCCCCTGGGTGGGTATTCACGGATGAGGGTTGACTTGGGGTGAAGAAAAAGCCACCATAACTTCGCAGTGGTACTTGCAAATGAAATCCGAGGCATGAGTGCTCCTCTTGTAAATTGAGTCATCTTTTCTGTACTTTTCTTTGATATTGTGTCATAGCTAGATAGCTGCATACGCAATTAAAATCTGATGCAAAAAAAAAAAAAAAAAAAAAAAAATATTAAACCATCAGTACGTACGGTGATCAAAACTGCGAAGTTCAAGCTTCCAACGAGGAATGCTTATGGATCTAAAAATGCAGGTCACAATAATACTCAGTTGACTTCTCAGTAGACTCTAGCTAGATTGGGCACCTATCTCAATTGAGACAGGAAACACTTTTTTTTAATTTACATCCTATTTGAGTCTATGACTGATGAAAGACAGGAAACACTTAGTCTGATGGCAACAAGAACTTGTCAAATTTCTTGCGGTAATCATGCACTGAATTACACCAGTTTGCTTTGAAATTTGATGTTACTGAGATATCTTTCTGTAGAATACTTGTGAATGAGGGTTATTTTTTTTGTGTAACCAAATACGCTCCGAAGTGGCATCAGGTAATTAATTAAGGATTGTGCTTTTCTCTAACGCTAAGAAACATGAAAAGTAAATATGAGATACTAATTGTATATCATGGGTAGTTATTTATACACGAATTTAATGATTGATAATAGAAAGGTATGCACATATTTTGCTTGGATTACATAGGGTCTAAGTATTTATCGAGAAAATACAGCAAAAAATTGAGTAGCCTCTAGGTCTTTTAAACACAGGATTATATCCGTATATATATATTCAGGCACCAACAAAGTATTTGTACCCAGCTAGACGAAGCAGAGAAAAGGAATTTGCAACCGTGACACGAGGAGAAGTATTCTGAGTATTATTTTAGGCGATATTAACTTATTCTGTCTCTCAAGTTGAAATCTATTTTTGGAGAAGATATCGCTGGTCATATAGCTACGTGCTTTGTTGATTCTGATCTGAGAAATTTATAAAATGAAGCCAACATGAAACACCAACCATGTACGTATTCGCGCATGTAATTCAAGCCCTTTCAAGAATTTTCACCATAATCCGCGCTCATTGGTGTCTCAAATAATACCCTCAACATCCTTAACATTCCTTAATATCTTTTGGCAGCTAAAATGCGCAAAATTTGATTTTTTGTGTAATTTTAGGTCTTTCAAAAGTTAGCATACTTAGCTGTTGATATTTTCTCCTGTATGTATTTTGTCAATGGGCACATTTGGACCAAGAGAATTGCGCTGCTTTGTAACAGCTGAAATCAGTATACCCTTCGTAAATCTATGCGCCAGGTCTCGAGGTCTGTCAGGCTGAATTTCAGACCAACGCTACAGGGAAGGAGGTTGTCGCGCAGGTCCCCCACACCATCATTTTGAATTCTGATTTCAAGGTAGCACAGGTGCAAGCAACAGACCCGTTGTGACTTTCGCATTTTTTTATATCTGTATTGGAAACTACTAGCCTCCCAGAAAATTCCAATTAGAACATCTGCGCCCCAATCTAAAAGCCGAGAGAAATTTAAATTTAATAGGTTTAGAAAGGCTAGACTCAAGAAAGATTGTTATGGAAAGTAATACTTAACAATTAACCTTTGTAAACTGTGTTTAGTAGGGTTCAAAAGTAGCCAAGGAGTACACCACGACTGTGTAATCAGGGAGATATCCAACAATCCTACAGCGGCTTAAACAATCCATGAACCAATTCTATTCAAGTAGATCATCTCTAAGCTCACTATTAATTAGCGGCTTACAAAAAAAGGTTGTCACATCAGTGAAGATTACAACGTCGCTTCTTCTCGGAATTTCAAGGCATTTACGGAAGGATAAATACGTAGGCCTCTGTGACAATTTATATCTAGATCTGACAAGGAGGCAGTCGTCTTCTTGCTCCGCTTATCTTAACAATCCAATATCTACTTCAGTAAGGGATTCTTGCAGCATATTACTGAAATACTGAACTTGCCGACGAAATTAGAGCTGCAGCCAGCAGCTCACTATCAAGACGTCTCAAACAAAGAAAAGAAAGCTTTCACCTCAGATCGCATACAATCAGGATCCTAAAATTGATCCCGACATTCCACTGAGCTCTGTTGAAGATCTTGATTCTCAAACTCTCGACTACGCACACCGCCTAGAAATTCCTGCTGAGTTTGAGACGAATCTACTTCAAATTACTGCACCATCTGAAAGTCCGAACAGTTCCCTTGGACCTCTCTCTTTTTTTGGCAGTTCTCCGAGTTCAGCGAATCCTAGTTTTATTTTGGAGACTGATATAAGTGGAGACTCTTCAAGCCTTGGCTCTCAAAAATCGATATCTTCCTCGAAACATCGAGATAGGGGTAGTCACAAGACTTCTCAATTGCTCTTAAAACGTAGAATGATGGAGGGAGCCGCAGAAGATTCACAGAGATCATCTTCACCACTGAAGCGACGGGCATCAGATCTTGAGGGTGATGCAGCTCAAAGTCACAAAGATGATCTTGATATGACCTCCATTTCTTCTCTAAATTCAAAGTCTGGAGGAGTATCTACTCGCTCAGCCCAAGCAGGAAAAGATTTCTCCCTTGATGTGTTACAAGAAGAATGCGAAAATGGTAACAGAAATGTAAACACAGAGGCAATTAAGCAAACAAAATATTCACACGCAGCTACCACAGGTAAATTTTGTAATGCAATTTTGAATCATTTTGCTAATGGTAATTAGATATCCCCGATATAGATACACAGATTAAGACAGTAACTTCTATCATTGAAGCTGAGGAACAAAGAAAACTCCAGGAAGGAGACAAAGTTTACCTAGTATCAAACAGATGGCTACAGCGTGTAAAGAATAATGGAACTGAAGAAAAAATTTCAAGCAAACGAATTGAAGATTTCGAAATAGGGCCAATCGATAACTCTGATATAACACTTCAAAATATAAAGGATTTATCTGGTGCTGACTTTGTTCAGTTGAGACCGGGCCTAAATCAGTCCCATTTTACTCCATTTCCTCAAACTGCGTGGGATCTCATATTAGAATGGTATGGGATTATGCCTGGAACACTTCCTATTATCCGAATAGCTCACAACAACAATCCAAATGGATCTCCATATATTTTGTTTGAGTTTTACCCACTAGTTTTCAAAATCCATCGCTTGTATGGGTCCAACAATACCATATCAGTCCCTCCGAAGTTTATAGCGTCAAATCCAGACGCACCTTTATTAATATACAGCAGATCTACTAAGTGGGTAGAATTTTTAAAGGATGTTAAGAAACATACTAGAATAGAAATTTCAAAAAAAATAAGAGTCTGGCGAGTACCAAGGCTATTGCCACCTGTCGAACCATACCCAGCTGCAACTAATACTACAACACCTCCATCATCAAGACCAGGCTCGCCAACAAGCCCACCAATACAAGTTGCACGTGAAGCTCAAGACTCTTGGTCTAAATTATTTCTCGATGTTTCTACTTTTTTGGAGCTCCCCAAAAACATTGCTCGGGAATTACTCGAAGCGGATGATGTTACCCTTGATCCTAAATACAATGGTAGTCGGAATCTGTCTATGACTGGTCTCGGAGAAGACCAAACTCTAGTTCTAGACGAGTTTGTTAGCACTGGCAATAATTGGGTCTCTAATCATACGTCTAAAAGTAGCAAATTAACTTCGGCCGGGATTAGGTCTGGAGTGTCCTTGAACGCCCAGAACAGTGTTCTTCGCAATTGTCCAGTTGCGAGCGGACCGATGATGACGCGTGGAAGGGCGCAAAATTCAGGAAGAACTCCAGGAACAGTCGGACTAAGCAACCTGGGAAATACTTGTTACATGAATTCTGCCCTACAGTGTATACGAGCTGTAGAAGAGCTGACAAAATACTTCTTAGGGGGCGCTGCTATGGAAGAACTCAATCGTGCTAATCCTCTTGGAAATAATGGTGACGTAGCTGTGGCATATCAAAAATTACTGGAAGAAATATATCACAAAGATATTGTGCCTAGCTCTATTGCACCTCGCCATTTTAGGAACACTATTGGCAGGTATGCTCCTTCATTTTCGGGGTATGGCCAACAGGATTCACAAGAATTTCTTGGATTCCTTCTTGATGGACTTCAAGAAGACTTAAGCCGAGTCAAGAAAAAACCATACATCGAGAAACCTGATTCGACAGATGAAATGGTGAATAACCCAGAAGCCATACGACAATTGGCTGAAAAAGTTTGGGACATAACTAAAAAGCGTGATGACTCAGTAATTGCTGACCTCTTTACCGGTATGTATAAGTCGACACTAGTGTGCCCTAAATGCGAAAAGGTTAGTATAACTTTCGACCCCTTCAACAATTTAACACTTCAATTACCAATTGAGAGCATATGGACACATAGTGTTTTTTACTTTCCACTTAACGACAAACCCTTTACAATGACCGTCGAGATTGAGAAACAAGGCACCATCCTTGCCTTAAAGCAGTTCATCAGCACTCGCGTTGGCGTCCCAGCAGAAAGACTTTTTGCTGCGGAGGAGCTTAAGTGCAAGTTTTACAAATTATACAAGGATTCCGAAATTGCTTCAGACGTAATACAAAATGAAGATCATCTTACTGTGCATGAACTAGAAGCCCCGCCTACAAATTGGCCACCTTCTGCTAAGTTGAAGAAATTAAGTTATCCATATGACGCAGAAGAACTTGAAGAGGGTCTTTGCTGGGATAGTCCCCTTGCTAAACGTATGCTTGTTCCCGTCTTTCATCGCCGCCCGAACCTGAATGCGATGGGTCAAAATCTACTTAAAAATCATAGGAATCCATGGATAATAGACTGTGCGCCTCATTTTATCGTACTCACCATGGAAGAAGTAATCTGCTACTGTTCAACCAGAGAATAAATTTCTAATCATTATTAATAGGCTCAAATCGAAGATATTATTAGACGCAAGATCCTCGAGAAGGTTGCAACGCTTACTACTTCAACCAAATTTGAAGAAAATGATGATGTCGAGAATCTGGAAATGAAGGAGAAAGATCAAACTATTGATATGGGCTCAGATGCTGAATTATATGGAGAAAATCGAATAACAGCCTCGTCTGTCGATGGCGAAGATGATGTCGTTGATATAACCATGAACGATATTACCAGAAGTCCAGAAACTGGAAATTTTGAATCTTCAGCTCTTCCTCAGTCACAACCAAATTCAACGTACAATAAATAGCTGCCTACAAAGTTTGCAGAACCTCGCTAACAGCTCCTACAGAAATCCATCGTATCCATTCCAATCTCATAAGCTTCGCCCCAAGTTCCTTGATCCGTCTGTCCATTTGAAGCCTGAATTTCAGAACATGTTTGAGATTGGATACTGCCAGGGTGCCCAAGAATTGATTCCTTCAGGCTGGAACACAATTGACGAAGAAAAATCTTACCCGTCTATTTCCTCGAGAAAGTTTCCGAAAAATCAGTTAAACAGTGAAGATAGTTTAGATGAGAATGGTGCAGAATGTGGCAGTGGAATTAACGGTTCTGAAACGGGCGACGAAGACACCACAAAATCCCAATGTGCAACGCGTATGAATGACGAATCTGAATCTGGTGATGAGTCAGTGCCCATCAATGCTGTTAAGGTAAACCCAAATTTTCTAACTTATTCTTATTTGAGATTATATTACTATTTCCAGTTTGTTTTTCCAGTAGTGTAGCAGTCGCATTATGCCATAACCTAACTTGAAACTAGGCTCTTCCAGTGCGAACCGCTGAGTTAAAATTGACCGGAATTAATACAAGCAACAGGAAAACCCGTCTCCGCTCTCTAAAACCGTCTCCTAAGAAATGCAGAAAGCAGAATCGACCGCAGCCACGGGAAATAGAAAGATCTGAACCAGCTGAATATGACAATGGTCCACTCATACGTCTGAGTGAAATCCTTGTGGTTGATTGGAATCCGCATGCTTATGATACATTGTTCCGCGGCAATGCGAACGGTGATGGCAATCGTGCTCAACCCACTTGGAATAGGATGCCCACTAAACACGATGAGATCCTGCAAGCCAAGCGGAAACAACGTACTATGCGTAAAAGGAATGGCATAACATTAGATGATTGTCTAAACGAATTTGGCAAGGAAGAAATTCTCTCTGAAATGGATACCTGGTATTGTCCACGATGCAGAGAACATCGGAGAGCAAGTAAAAGATTTGAACTATGGAAGACCCCTGATATTTTAATTATGCACTTGAAACGGTTCAGCTCTAGCGCTCGTCGACGTGATAAAATAGACATCCGAGTAGATTTTCCGATCGAAGGATTAGATCTATCACAACGAGTTGTCAAGCAAGAAAATGGAAGATTAGAGAAATATGATCTGTTCGCTGTCGACAATCACTGGGGAGGGCTTGGTGGGGGCCATTATACTGCTCACGCAAAAAACTTTTATGATGGCGAATGGTATGAATACAATGGTTAGTTATAATCCAAGTATCCATGATAAAGCTAATAAGATCCAGACTCTTCAGTCTCAAAGCAAAAGAATTTATCTGATATTGTATCCTCTAGTGCCTACTTACTATTTTATCGTAGACGTTCACAAGTACCACTTGGTGGACCTAAATTTCAACAAATTATTGAAGATTACCATAATCGAATCTCTCGCTCCGATGATGACGCATCAGAGCCGGGGGAAGACCAGGCTCTCTTCGGAAACTCCTCCCTTCGTGGGTCGTCGAGCGCCTTGATAGGAACAGGGGCAGCTCAGCATCTAGTCGGTGGTTTTGATTGCGCAGAGATGACGTCAAATTCTTCGATTATTGAATCGCTCCCTGCCTATGAGTCCCACGAAGAAATCGATGAGGATGCTGTGCATATCTTAGGTTCACAAATTGATGGGAGTTTACACGAAAGTATTGAAGACGAAGGGTTCTCGGAGGAGAGAGCAATGAATCATGAATCATTCAATATGCGCACAAATAGCAGCATATTTTCTGGCGGCTTTTCTGGCAGCGAATGGGGTTTTACTAACGTCCCTCATGGTCGTGGAGACAAACCTTCTGGGGCGGGATCAGATGATGAATTATCTAGTGAACGGGTCGAGCATAACTCTTGTCCCAGCTTGACATCACAGGACGCACGATCAAAGGATTTTGAAAATAATATCGTGGAAGAAGATGACACAAAGTTTATTGAACAAGATTCCACTTCGGAGGTGGATGATGAGAATCAGATGCCTAACTTCGTATCAGAAGAAAATTTTGCTAAAAGGATTGCTCCACACAGCAATCTAGTTCAGCAGTCACAGTGTACTACCGTAGATAAGACTGTTGATTCAGATTTTTCAACTGCGAGTCTTCCTCTCGAAGATGTTATAGACTTGCGGCCCGAAAATTAGGTCAATTTTCCAGGGAAGCAGCTTAATAAGTATTTCATGCTCTCAAACATGATTTTTGTATGAAGTGCTTGTGTATGTTTTTAAGGTACCAACGCGTATACGCACATGAAACAGACCTATTTGTGTTTAATGGAGCGTCGTACCTGTGAATAGTGGAGCCCTTCTTGTCTGCCTTAAGGGAGGTAGTAGAGTGATGGATAGACGTGAAATATCCTTAATCCATTGCAGACTTTATTACGCTCTATGAAGACAAAGTAGACGAGATTATTATATCGTTTTGACGCAGCTCGTATATTGTACCATTAATCTAACCGTGTCTTTACAACTTTCTCTTTATCTAACATCATTCGTGTGGACTTAACTGTTTTCAACATCACATTACCTCTGATCTCTGCCCGCCTGTAATTAATGGCTCATTTACGCAAGATATCAGATCGTCCTATCCATAATCTGTCCAGTTATGCAGGACCTTGAAGTACTGGCTCTGAGCTGATGCAGCCTGATTCTTTCTATACTGTGTCTGTTTTGGATGTCCCTCGTGCCAAGCTACTCACCAATCAGGCCCAGTGCCTTCAACTCTCATTAACGACCTCTGGCTAAGTTTATCTCCATTCATCATCGCGTCCAGACCTACAGGATTTTCTCTCTACTATTTGAACCGTTGTATCATATCTTTTGAGGTCGCGCACTACGGTGTAGCTAAGTTAGTTTTCCTCTCTGCGGATCGCAACCTCTATTGAGCTTGCTTGGGCCGCCCGCTAATTTCATTCTTGAGTCTATTGAGCCGCTCAATTACGGCACCAAGCTCTGCTTTCTAGCCTGCGGACTAAAAAATTGAACGGGAGTTTCGTTAACATTACGAAGAAGATGAAGAAAGATCCGCATCTCTCCGTCATTTACGCCCATGAGTGGATGTGAATGGATGTGAAAACACTAGAAACTTCAAAAATTGCATATTCTACGGAGTGAAAACGGGTGACAATTTCTGCACGCATTTTGGGCCTTATCCACTATTTTGGCTGAGTGGTGTAACGGTACATTAGGTGTATGGGTATCTTCCGATGAATCTACTGAGCTTAACGTCCATCTCATGTAAGGTCGGAGACCATTGATCCTTTGCCAAATCATTTCATTTGTTTTTATCAAACTCGCCATAACACATGAAATAAGAGACTTGATCAGTTTACATTGTATGTCAGACGCCTCACTTGACATCAATCCTTATTAGACTTTGAAAAGTATCTAAGGCTTATTGGGTGGATTGATTACTTTTAGCTAAATTTTCTGCGATTATGGAGTACCGTAAATTAGCTAGTTGAACGCACGATCCACTTCGAGAGATAAGTACTTGGAAGCGATGTACGAAGATGAATCAAGTTGTTTTTACTGGGTTATTGATACCCGTAATCTCTTTTCGCCTACTACAGAAAAGGCTCCTAAGGTTCCTGATAATCCTAAGGGCCTGTGAAAGAATTCTGGAGGCATTTTGGGGTAAAAGTGAACATTGACTCTTAGCCTAATACTGTCAACGGCCAAGAATAACCACCGAAGAAGTTGGACAAAGAAATGTCTCAGGTCAAAAATAGGGACTGTCCATACATAGGTGGGTTATTTGTTTCGGTCAGTGCTTCAATTCTGTATTTAGAACTGCAGGTTATTCTATTTCTAGCGCATGTCTATATTTAGAGATCAAGAGATCAAGTCAATCATGATCAGTGTATATAGTCCTAGAATTCCGGGAGAAATAGAAATCAAGTTGTTTTTACTGAGTTATCTTTTACCTTACTTACATACACTTCGCCTGTCACAGGTCAGGCTCCCAGTTACCTGACAGATACAAGAACCGAAGGGGACAAATATTTTAACCTCAAAGATAAAAGATTAGGCTTAATGTTTTCTTTTCTTAGATGGGGAAATATTTAAATCTATAGGTTCTATTTTCTACTACAAAATATCCGTATGTCTTCAACCATGCTAAGTTGAGATCTTTGGTAGTTTGTGGTGAAGGTGTATGTTTTGTATCCTATTAAGTCTTTGATTATAGGTGGACATGGATATATTATGATATCGAGCGGCTACATTGGAATATATAACTCTTTTCTACAGAGGCATAGTAAATCTATGGCATCTTTTCGGCTTCTATCTGTGGAAATTACACTCAGAAGTCTTCCTTTGCAGACCAAGAGAAGTTTTCTGCCATTCAATCTCCCCTCTATCGCAAATGAAACGATGGCTACTTGTGGGTGTATGGCAGCCGGGAAAAATTGCAAAAACCTCTGGGTGCCGGACTCTCCCAATACCGATATTGGGACTAAATCCGAAGACATAGTGATCCTTCTGAAGCGTTCGAAGAGGCAGGCCAGCTGTGCGCTGCAGACTTATGGGTACCTCGGGAAATTCACTCTCTGCCTTTCTAGCCTCCTTCCAACTCCTTCCCGAAGGTCATGCTGAAATGTCAGAAAAGTCTTGACAGAGCGTGATTGCCGTGTGGTAGCTTAGCCCAAATCCATCTGTACAGTCCAGGGCTCTGGGGAGTGCCGTTGACTCATCGACAATAAAAGTCTTCCTGACTACTTAGCCGAAACCTCGATTTTGGTGCCCACAAACGTTCTAAAGTTGAAAACCCCTCGAAAATGTCAGTCCCAGCATGGTCTTCAGAGACCTATTCCCCTCCTCTCGCTCTACATCTCAGCCGCCTGTTTTCCCTCAAGTTGTTTATCCCATTGGAGCAACAGTCCCCCGTAAGCCAAGACCCAGGCTTTGTATTTTTCGACTTGATTTCCTTCTTGCGGGTATAAATAGCGTCGTAAATTTGTAGTGAGAGATGGCTGGAAATCAATGGGGCAAGCTCCTGTTTGCAACTTCTTCATTGGTCGTTGAGGCAAGATGATGCGTGGTTAGAAAGAGGTTGAGGACTCAGATAAGAATGATAAGAGAGGCATGATTGAGAAGTCTTCAAATGGAGATACGCATGTATTTGCTTTCGACATCGATTCTTCTTGGCTGTCCCAGATATACTGGACATACTGAGCGATTACACCAGCACCACTGGAAGGTGAAGAATTCGTCTTTGCCGGCGGTAGAATCGACGTTATTCATTCATTTTTTTTAAATCATTTAATATGTATTCAGATATAGAGCTATGACACATGACCGGTGCTATGTATACATATGTGATGACTCTTTTGACGTTAGAGACACTCATATTCTGGATTTCATTCGCAAATACTACTATGAGGTATGCTCGCTTACACGAACAGTCGACCCTCCTCCGTAAGTACCCACCAAAGGGAATTTCGAAACCTTTGGTTATCCAAGCATGCCTTCGTCATCCATGCATACCAGCGCCGCGAGAAAAGTGGTTGTGTTTTGCCGGATTTTAACCAGCGATCTACTGTCTCGAGTGGGATGTGTGTCCAAGCTATCCGGACTCTACTTGGCAGACCGGCCAAGACGATGTACCACCGCACCATCCAACCATGGCGGTGTTTATAGTGTCGCCTGCGCTCTCGCAACCGAAGACTTTGCACGCACAAAGCTCAAATTGTAAAAACTCCTTGCCAAAATTCGAAATTTCACGCCCGTCGAGAATGTATCCATCCTTTGCGTCATCTTATAAACTTGTCCTGATCCCTCTCACGTCCATCCCAAAGAACTATCACCTAGATTTGTGCGCCGCGCTTTGCTTCCTCCGTCGGATGTAAATATTGGCTTGGGCGCATATTTGGTGACCAGCTGAGGCCAGAGAAAGTCGACAAGGGGTGAGGTCATTGAGATGAGGATGTACTAGGTCGTACTTGTAGAATTGATGAGGCTTAGGTAGTGTAAGGATTCTGGAAAAATGCCTCAGGCAGGATTTATGGTTTCCTTTTTAGCACCACTAGGCTTTTTGTTTTTGCATCAGATTTTAATTGCGTATGCAGCTATCTAGCTATGACACAATATCAAAGAAAAGTACAGAAGAGATGATTCAGCGTAAGAGAAGAGCACTCGTACCTCAGATTTCATTTGCAAGTACCGCTGCGAAGTTATGGTGGCTTTTTCTTCTCCCCAAGTCAACCCTCATCCGTGAATACCCACCCAGGGGAACATCTCAAAAACCCTGAGTTATCCAGACATGCCTCCGTCATCCATTAACTTTTCTACGCGCGAAATGTAATCTGAGATGTCCCCTTCCCAAGTGGAGTAGTTGCCCAGGCTACTCAAACTATTTCGAAGAACATCATCTGGAGACGTTCCACAGTGTCTACCATAGCTTGCTTGTTTTTATAGTGTCAGCTACACTCTCGCAAGCGAAGTCTTGGCGTGAACAAGGCTCAATTTGTAAAACTCTTGCCAAAATTCAAAATCTCACGCCCGTCGAGACTGTATCCATCCGTTGCGTCATCTTGTTAACTTGTACCTAATCCTCTCACGCCAATCCCAAAGAGCTATCTCTCAGACTTGTGCGCCACGCTTTGCTTCCTCCGTCGGGTATAAATATCGGCGTGGGCGTGTATCTGGTGGTCAACTGAGGCCAGAGAAGGTCGAAGAGTGGTGTGGTCATTGAAACGAGGATGTACTAGGTCGTACTTGTAGACTTGATGAGGCTTAAGTAGGAATCGGACTCTTTGGGAGTGAAAGATTGAAATGGTGGAGTAATTTGAATTTTTGCCTCGTGGGCCAACTTCTTTGATATTGCGAAATTTGACTGAACTTGGCTTTGGGAGAATATTTCACTCCCAGGTTCGTAGAGGACACCGCGTACAGGTGTTCAGTCTTGCCCTCCTTACCACTAGGCTTATTGCCTAGCGAGGATAGTTATGTAGTTTTCATTTCCAATACTGAGATCTTCACGCTTTGTTTTCTGTCTTTAGGAATAGTTACATTATTCTAATCACATCTCACTCTCGTCCTCTGCTAACCATAGTGACCTACCGTTACCTCCGGCCCCTCTATCTAGAACCACTCCCCGCTTTCCCATTTACCACTTCTCTAGAAAGCCCTCCGCGTTCCCACGA